TTAAGTCCTCCCCTGTGTCCTGGAGAATTGACGAAAAGACAATCTGAGCTCCAGAGCCCCTAACCACCTCCCCCAGGGCTCTGTAGTCCTTCTTTGTGTTCCCCAGGCTACTGCTATCTATATCCCTAGCACCCACATGGATCACCAGGAGTGGGTAATAGTCCGTGGGACTTACTAGAGCAGGCAGCCTCTCTGCCACATCCCTGATCCATGCCCCCGGTATGCAACACACCTCCCTTGAGACAGGGTCTGGCTGGCAGACGAGTGCTTCTGTCCCTTTCAGTGTAGAGTCCCCTACTACTACGACCTGCCACTTTTTCATAGCGGCACCAGTAGAGATCTTCTTTAGCAGTGCATCAGCCGGCTAAATAAAGGATCACCTTGCTGAAATTATTCATGCAATAAAATACAGAAACAATTGGTAAAAGTAGGTGTGAAAAATGAGTCTTCTGCCATTCCAGGACAAACACAGAGCTCCATATCTTGCTGCCCCATGATTTTTTCCTGTACTGACTGAGGAACTCTGAATATTCTCCCATGCATTCTGAGATGCTGGAGATTGAATGTATTGGGAGTGGCTTGTACACAGGTATCTGTGGCACCCTTTGTGTAAGTGGGATACACAGATTTCAATCTGTGCTATACACAAGGGGTTGACTCCATTGTTTCCAGACATTCTAGATAGTAAGATGAAATTGGAAAGCTGTCATGAAGCTGTTCCTGCAGGTGGGATATTAACAGCAGTCCGGGAACAGCAGAAGTGGCCTTTGGAAAAATAGTAGCCTATAAAGGGGGGACATAATGCAGAAAACATGTCAGCCAGAAGAGTGGCCACAGATGCCTTGAATTTTGGCAAAACAGATGGCCTTCCACATATTGTGTCGTGTCCCCCCCCTTGGCTTCTCATATTGTTTCTGTGGCCATAAAACTTCAGTCTGGATTTTCAAGAGCTCTCAGGGACAGGTACACAAAGCAGCCTGAAGTAAGCTGACACAGCCACCACAATAGCTTGCTGACAGCACAGGTACCTGAGCCACTGTGCTTTGAAGCTGTTGTGCCACCCAGGAGCCCATGCCGCCATCTGGTGAGGTGGGCAACCCTAAGGATTGATACTCATCAAGACCAAAACCTCCATGTACTTTGAGTCACAATGTTGCCGATTCCCGATCTAGTGATCCTCATCTCCCCTCTCTCATTCTGCTTTTGCAGTTGTGTCTACAGCAGATGCTGGCCCCCTTCTAAAGGTGCTAAACCCAAAAAACTTAGTCCTGACGCTGTTTGGAGAGAATATCATAGCAACTGCAATCCTGGATGTCCTTCCACTAACTTCAGCTGGCTTTCCAACACTAACTCACTTCATGCTACTAGGCAGGAAACATCTGTTTCTCTTTGCTCAACCAAGTTTTCCTTATAAAGTGGTCCTGAATGCACAATTCTGGGTCAGTTTGAGCATATAGTACAAGATGAGGTATTTTTAATGTATTATATAAGTTGGAAGTGAATGATACTGGAATAACTTCATGAGGTCCACCTAGAAATGATTCTCTTAACACACATGGAAGCAATTTATTTCAAAAATAAGAGAATCCAAGTCCATTTGCACAGTTCAGGGTTTGTTGTGTTTTTTTTCCTAAGGGCTTTTTTCTGCAATATTCCCAAGTAGGGATTAGCTTAACAATTACTCACTAGTCAGATGCACACTATGCTTGAGAGCACAATTACTCATGTTTTGATATTGGAGATTAATTCCCTTTTCTCCCCAGTGGTGAATTTGCCCAACACGTACACAGGCATATGTTTGGAGGAAGGAAGCTTTTTACTTCAGTCAATATGATTGACACAGACAGTAGGTGACAAGTTGCACTAGATATCCCTACGGATTTACTTTACCCTATGCTTATAGGTAAGACTAATATGTAATCAGTACTTTTCACAGTACTGGCACACACTGAGTGAATTTTCAAACAGCGTAAAATAAGACTGTTAAAACATATTTTTAAAAATAGCTCTTAGGATCTTAAACTAGAGTCTTTAAAAAGACTCAACTAGAAGTGAAACTTGAGCACTAAATAATATTGTGACCCAGGTGCACATATGTAAACTGCAGTGAAATTTCCATTGTTTTCTCACCAACTTCAATACATACATGACTATTTTTAAATTATCTAAAATTGAATTTTTTTTCACAGATCCTTCTTCAAAGGAAACACCCATTTACCAACTGAAGAATTCCTTTTCCTTTATCTAGTCAAACTGTTAAACTATCACAACACGGCAAGTTCACAGACAGCAGCTAAATATGCTACTGGACTATGCTCAAAACTATTGGGGAAAATTAAGCATACTCCAAGGGATATGAAAGCTAAAAGAAGGCTATACTAAAACCAGTGAGTACATACCCTCGTTTATTAGAGGGAATAGGAGATGAGGGTGGGGAAGAAGGGGAGGAGTAAGGCACTTGCCCACATCACCAGTCAGACCATTTCTGGATGAATGTACAAAATCAGATAATTACTATCATTTCCAGAAATACTTCAGCTTACATAAGTGCTGCTCCTGGGATTAGAGTATGAAAAGGTATCAGTAAGTCAGTGTAACAAATGGAAGGAGGTCAACACCTGTTTTGTGTTCTATTGTGAAGACAAAATTACAGCCACAAGACATTGAGAATTACAGTAACTGCAGAAAAATATTTGTTTCTAAGGCCATATAAGTCCATGCACAGAAAACTGGTAGCAATCACAAAGCCAGTAGAAGTATCCCTTACTATTCAGTATTTAAGATAAAATACTTGCGCATGAGCTATCTTGTGACTTCCTGTACAAGCATGCATTTTATCCTTCTCTTTTCCAGAGTAGACATGCCAATGTATAGAGGTATCAAGGGAGGAAAAAAAGACCACAAGGTATATACCTCAGGTATTTTAAAAGAAAATAAAACCTTCTTCCCATATCAGAATTTCTCAGTAAACTCATTGCACTTCAATATCAGGGTTAATTTTTCAAACTGGTAGAATCAGCATCAGCTGACCTTATTACAGAATTTAAACCCGTGTCCATAGCATCATAGAATGGTTTGGGATGGAAAGGACCTTAAGATCATCCAGTTCCAATCACCCTGCTGTGGGCAGGGACACCTCATACTGCCCAAGGCTCTGTCCTGAACAGAGCCCTGAACACTGTCGAGGGTGAAGCATTTAGCACTTCTTTGGGCAACTTGTTCCAGTGTCTCACCACCCTCAGTCCGTCACCATCCTGTCAATGCCATGGTAACTGTGTGTTTCAAATACCTTTGGTTAACACAAAAAAGAGGGCAACAATGTCTTTAATGCACCTTTCTGACTTCCTCTGACACTTTGGTATTTCTGATTGCACATGGTACATGTATCTTCCTCAAAACTGTCCGTGGCAGCTCTTTATGTTGGTATTCAGTAACTCCTTCAATTTAAAGCCATTTCTCAGGGCATACTTAGCTCTGCTGTATTCACTCAAATATTGTTCCTTAGGAACAGCAATTCCTACAATCAAACATGCTTTTCTAAAAAGAATATAACAATAACAAGTACAGAAGAAAACCAAAAGTCAAATTTCAAAGGTTCATAGGTAATTCTCCCCTGTATCAGCCCAGTGAACCACAGGAGCATTACTTTTTGCTGTTGTCCCACTTCCCACCACCAAGGCAAGCAGACACCTGAGGCTACAACAAGTCAATTCAGCTTACATCTAGGTATATTAGCACCCTAACTGAACTTTGTGACCTGCACCAAAAGGTCTGCCTGTGGCCCTTATACAACGATTCCCTGGGATCTAGGCTTTAAGAATGAAAGACTCCAGGAGCCTGTCTGCAGATGAAGGTTAACCTATCTTTGTTTTTACAAAGCTAAACAGACAAAGACAGCAGCTGCAGTGTACACAGGACAAGAAAAGCTTCTTCACATAACCAGCCCTGCAGCACCCTGCTTCCTGACGAAGATTTCTGTTGAGCAAGGCTACAGAGCCATACAACAGATTTGTCCATATTCCAAATCAACAAAGCACAAGCCATTTCTGCTACAGAATAATTTAGAAGCTTTAATGTGCCTGTTGCATTCAATCTATATTGAAAATCTTTATTTCCAATCCACAGGATCTTGGCCTTCCTCCGGTGCATGGGATGCACTTTCTAGCAGTGCAGCAGAACCTCGTGCTAAAATAGCTCTGTAAGTGAGCTAAATGCAGTAGCAAAGAGAGCTATAGCCATGCAGTCAAACCTACTGAATATTGCTGTGAACACCAGATTTTGTATTTATCTACTCTAAAGTCCAGACAACATTTGACACAATATTGCACACTACAAAAAAAATAAAGTTGCTTTGGTTGGGTTTTTTTAAGCATTCTGAGCAACAACAAAGTAGAAAATAAACAGTACGCACTGATAAATCAGTAGAGAGCATCACAGTAAGCATGCACTCAGGAACCACATTAGGCAATTTTAAGTCAATCTTTTGACTGCATGCCTTGGCAGTTTTGGTGTAGCTCTCTCAATTCCTTGCAACTTAAACCACCCAGTTTTACTCAGATAAAGTTCAATTGCCTCTTATGTTTCTACATAGTGACCTTGCTAAAGCAAGTTGAAGCAATAAAAACACTTGCAAGTTAGTCTCCTGAGTATGCTATGCATTTCCAATCACAAGCTCACGTACACACCTCATGCGAAAACCCAGCTTTTAACCTGTACCTTTTCTGCTATAGATGTGGTGAATCTCTTCTTGCTTTCTGAGAAAGATGTGGTGCTTACGACCAAGAAAGCAGTGTGTGAAGATCAGAAGCTGAGTACAGAGAAAAAAAGAAAAATTGCTCCTATCATGAGCCATGTAAAACCTGATCCCATCCCTGAAGCAGCTGTAGAAATAGGCAATTACCTCAGAAACAAGAAGCAGCTGGGTTCAGTTTCAGATTCTTCTTAAGGTCTTACAGAATAAAGTGGGGTTGGAGGGGAGTGTGGTGTTAACAGGTTGTTAGTTTGTCTAAAAGGTTCTGTGGTTAGTGACTGAAGGGTTGAGGGAGAGTATCTTTGGTTAAAAAAAAAGCATTATTACAGCAGAAGATACTGGATTTGGATGTGTGAGCTAGGCATGGCTTCCTTGGAAAACGCCAGCAAGAGCCTGGTGATAGTAATGACTGTAGAAGGCCAGTCAAGAGGTGGATCTGTGTTTTTTATTTATTCTGTCTGCCTCTTCCAGGGCACTCTGCAGATGGGGGGATAAGAAAGGATCAGAGGAATTTTTCCTACCTGCCCTTTACCTTCCTAGCACACAGTCATATAGCTGTAGTTGCCATGTGTATAGCTAATAATGGAGCTTAGAATAAAGGGACTGGGTTGAGATGAAAAGAATCAGCAAAATATTAGGAATGTTCATCATCCTGTTTTCCCCTCTCTTGGTTATTTGCAAGGAGTGACTTTGCCTGTTTGCAAGTCTGTCACTTGAAATATTATTTGTACAAAGAACAACATATTTGCATGTACACTTCTGTAGGGTGGCTGACTAGGTAATTGTAAAGCCACTGCAAGCTCACAGCACTACAGTTCATTCAGGACCATTACACCACAGTGTGCAGAAAACACTGGGATTTGCCTTTAAAAATTGAAAAGCATTTTTTCTTTTATTTTTACTTTAAATATGACTATTATGCATGTTCCATATTCTTTGCTGGCAGTAAGTATGCGTTCAGCATTTTTATTATGGCTACACTTTTACAAGGAGAACTAAGCCTACGGTATCATTTAACAAAGCAGATGATACAAAGGTGCCCTCTTAAGAGAGAAGAAAAGTCATTTCCTGTTTAACATAAAATGAAGAGACAAAAATAATATCATATAATGGCCAAGAGGCAGAAAGAATCAAATCTCAGTTTGTATGAATGATTCACGATTCGTCCTTGGGGTGATGAATGAAGCAGCATGCCTCCCTATATATGTCTTTCCTCCATGTACTTGGTTTTGCATCATTTGTGAGTCAAAACGATTAAAAAGTACTTCACCCTCATGCTCCCTGTAGGAATTCAGATGCTCAAGTAACTCTGGCCTTTCTGGAACACATTAGTTTCACAACAGGTAAGCAAGAAGTGAAGAAGTGAGTAATCCAGGAAGCAGTGCAACACTTCTCATTGCTGGATAGGATACATGACCTTGATTTGAAATAAAAATATTCTACTTCTCTGTCCAAAACTACTTTCTAAGATGTGATAGATGTACACATGCAAGAGTTAAAGAAGACATCTTCAAAAACAGTTTCAAACTGCTCACAGCAAGTATGTAATGCTTACTAGGAAGAGAAAGCTAAAGATCATACGAATGGTTACAAGTAACTCTCCCATCTTTTTATCTCCATAGAGTATTCCTCATTTCCACTAGGTTAGGAAAAATATTCATCTGCTAATATGTCCTATAGATTCATGCCATAACTGATGATCTTTAGCTATAATCAGCAGTGTAGCACATTTTACCAAGAGACAAGGAAGTACTTGCAAATCTGACCAAGTGTCTTCATCTAAAACAGCACTGTTCAAACCCAGGTCATTCAGTCTCTTACGGAAGAAGATGAACTTAGGGAGATCTATTTTCCATTCTCTGGCCTGATACAGCTGTTAGTGCTGTTGCTAAAAGCCGGTATTCATCTTTGACGATAAGCTGCCCACATGTCTTTCTGGGGTTAGCCAGATGGTCATAGTGCACTACTGATGCACAACTGCAGTATTAGTACAGGCTGAGTGGAACTAATGAGTGGAAGTGTGGGTGGGATGCTCAATGGCTTAAACGTTTGGTTTTTTTTCTTCTTTAGATGATGCTGGTGGTCCATGCAGGCTGGCAAACTTCAACTAAGGTTGTAGTTGTAGGATTCACACAGTTTTCAATTAACGTGAGGATACTAATGACGGCTTGCCTCATCGTACATCACCATCAGATATGGCATACTCATAAATAACTACCTAAACCAGTTCTAAAAGTATAATTTATACTTCAGATGTAAGTAAAAGCAGGCTAAGATTTCTCATATAGTCATTATTAATATAACTCTACTTTACAGGGTAGAAAATTTCCCAGACAGTATTGCGAAAATTATTTAAGAAGAATATACTGAATATTGATTAAAAATAGCCCTGCATTTAAAACCTAAAAGCTGTATCTTATGTTATCTGAGCAGTGCAGTTGGACAGGAACCCTGCACTGCTTGGAACATTACAGATTCATATCTGATTCTTTGGTCCTTCACATCTATTTTTGCTTAATCATGTTATTGTGCTTAATGATCATATCAACAGCTTGAGAGACAGCAATAGAGAAAGGAACACAAGAGCTCTCCTGGGAGGACAAGAGCATAGAACCCCAGCAGTGAAATAAGTGAACAAGAGCCCTAGCAATCTGATTGGTTTCAATCTGAGGCAGGCTAAAACTGACACTTCCAAAGAAAACAAACCCAATCTCTCTGTTCCTCCAGCAGCCTGCCTTGTCTGTTCACATTACACGGCACTTCTTTACTCCCAGTAAAAGTCCAATGACTCTATGAAAAAAAAAGTCGTTTCTATGAAAAAAAGTTGCTTCCTTATGGATGGTTTTTAGACCCATACATATCACTCATTTAAACACTATGACTTCAGTCATCTTTTCACCTTAGCACTTCAAAATGGCATCCCACAAACTATCCATTTAAATATAGAAACACTATATTTCAGAGTACTTTGCAATCATTCATATTTCATCTATTGTACAAAAAATCAAGCTATAACTAAAATCATACACCCTTCACTTCCTAGGTATTTTGTACTTTTTCACTATTTCTCTTTAAAACTTTGTCAATACTAAATAAAAATAAGGACATTTAGACTGATTTCCTAGGAAAACATTCCTTGTATAGTCACAGCAGATCAGGCTTATACCCTGAACCACAAGGGTTATATTTTTCATTGCCACTCAGAACTTCCAGCTTATGTTTTCCAGAGTTAAATTCCTGAGCTAGACACCATAGTTCCTACAGAAAGTAATGTCACACATTGTAAAGGGAGAGTTAGGAGTACCTGAATGGGATGTGCAACCACTAGCACACTGACTGGAGAGAATCTGAACACACTGGGAACACCAGAGAGAGAAGTATGGTTGCAATTCAGCCCTCTCTGAGACACAGGCTCTTCCTTGCAGCTTTGAGTTCATCTCCTCCTTCTGAGCCTGGACAGCTCAGAAGTCTGGAAATCCTCCCCTAGACACTGGCACATGGGCAACATTTCTCATTTCAGGTTTGGCAGAAGAAAAGCAGTGGGATGTGGCTCTTTCCTCCCCAAAGGACACAGATGCAGTCTTATGGCTTAAGCTGATTTCTGAAGAGTACTTTTCCATTTTGATTCTGCTCTTTCAGCATGCATTCCCACCTTCTTTGTACAAAACCTGACATACCAGAGCTGAGGCTGTTTTCTAGCACTCCTTTTGCCTTGGCACTACCCAAGCACATGTGCGTTCCATGAGTAAACCCGTTTGCTTTGGTCACTTTTTATTTCCTATGGCCCCAAAAAGGAACCCCATAAGTGTGTTTTGTCACCTTCAGCTACTGCAGTAACAGCAGCATTCAATATCTGTATTTCTCTTTAATAAAATGCTAGTAATGTTTGTCTTTTGTCTGTTACCATACTCTTTTATTCAACATGAAGAATATAGCAAATGCCTGTTTTACATTAAGAAGCAACTCCATTTTACTGGGTTTTCTTTTCCTCTACAGCTAAAATACCTTCTAAACCATTCCTATTGTTAATAGGAAGAGAAAAGCAAGTTTTTAAGTTTTCAAACCCTACTAATTTTCTAAAGTTTATGGTCTCAAGTGAATAGCCCTGAAATACTTGGTGTATAGCAAGACAATCACAAGTACAAAGAAAAGCAGCTTTGAAAAAAAGCAAAGCTGTTTGTATTAAGTGTTTTTGTCTTTCTTTGGATAATGAAAACCAGCCACAAGTCTGCTCTGAAGCACTCATTTTTTCAGATTTTCAGTAGGCTGCCAATGTGGGAGAGCAGAAAAATCAGGGTGCTCCCTCCTCCTACTGGTACAAGGTTTCTTGATGATCATGGAGGTGGGCAGGTCTGCTCATGCAGGCAGTGGCCTCAAACAATACAGACCTTGCAGTCAGTAAAGCAGCACTGCCTGAAAACCTGAGATACAGCATTTCTTATGATCATTTCCTATGATTTCTATTGAGGTTTCCAATTTTCAAAAGCAACCTCATCTTTCTAGGAACATATTGATGTCAGAGGTGTTATAGCAAGAGTTATTTCGGTCCTGAGAGGCTAGGTAGTATTGGGCCTTAGTTATTCTAGGTACTAACAGCATTTATTAGTTCCCTGGCATGCAGCTAGTTTAGAGTCTTAGTCATAAAATATCTGTAACCAACTACCAGTCTTATCTGAAGTCTGTTAAAACAAGCAAAATTAGACATCCATAAAACCCCACAGACTTTATATGGTGTTTCCAAGCCACATTATTTATGATAATCAGCAGCTGTGAAAGTGAAGTCTCTCCGCATAAATGCAGAAGGCATCTTTCTTGGCAATTATTCATCAGATGGACTCCGAAGTCAGCAGAGGCTCGAATGCGAATGATGAACTACACAGCAGCCTACTTGTATGCCTGTAGCCTGGGGAAGGGCAGGCACAGCCCTGACTTTTAAAGGAGGACACATAAACAGAGCCAAGATGCTGAAAGCCATCATTATAAAGCCTGAGACAAAGTGAAACAACAACAGCAAACAGTTGGGTAACCTTTTGAAGTGGATGTGCTCCTCTTTCACTGTTTTCTGAATATCCTTAAATTTTGATTGGCTTTAGATGTGAAAGCAACTGGCAGACGGTCAAAATTTAAAATTGATGAAGTACAATTGGTCTGTTCATGGGACACTTGGAAAAGAAAATAATGATCTTTCAGACAAAAATGTTCTGAGGAAGCTAAGCCACCATGTCAACAGATAAGAAAACAAATAGTGGTACTGAAATGGCTGGAGCAAACAGTATTTAAAAGAAGGTTTTGTCCCAGAGGAGTTGTGGCAAATTCAGAGGGCTCTGTACTTGGTGAGCTTTAGGATATTCTTTTATGCTTTGAGGACACACTGGCAGTATAGCAAGGGCTAGGGGTCATACCTAATTTGTATTAATTGCATTAGTTCAGAGGGAAGACCTGAAAAACTGCAGTCCGTAGCATGAAGGAATGACATGCCCTGTATTGATCCCAAAAGTTTTAAATGTCAGCCCTAACATAGCACAGTCTAAAACGGTAACAGCAAACAAACAAACAGAACTCTACTACTGTTGAGGTAGCTTTGACCTGAGGACAAATTCAAGAAGACATACAAAATATATGCAAGCTAGCCTCAACTCAGCAAGATGCAGGGCAGTGCTGTGTCAGTTGTGTCTGTCACCTACTCTGCTCCCTGCATGATGGCTCAGTCAAGTACCTAATGCCCTCCCCTAGATCCCAAGGGCAGCCTGAGGGATGTTAGGAGACTGATGAGGCTCATGACTTAAGCAGCTCTGGAGCTCAGATTTCTGCATTGAATTTGATCCACTTTTCCATCTGTACGTCTGGGTAACCTCATTGTTGACTCAAGATCAGAGAGAATTGAGAGAAACAGAAAAACTTAAGGTCTGTAACAGTGTTACTCAAACTGTGACCTACCTGAGGATTTGGAAAACTCTTCCTGTCTTCAGCAACGAAGCCAACAAAATTTGGTGGTGAGACCAGCTTGAAAGAAGGTAGATTTAGATTGGATATAAGGATGAAATTCTTACCAATAAGGGTGGTGAGGTACTGGAACAGGTAGACCAGAGAAGATGTAGATGCCCCATCAATTGGATGCGTTCAAAATCAAGTTGGATGGGGCTTTAAGCAGCCTGGTCTAGTGAAAGATGTCCCTGCCCATGGCAGAAGGGGTGGATTATAGGCTATTTGATGGTCCTTTCTGACCCAAACCATTCTGTGATTCTTTTCATGTTGGAGAATTAGCATTGTGGTACCTTATGGAGAAGGGTTTGGGACATACGGTTACATCTCTTCGGCAAATCGAGGCCTCTTTATCGGTATCTGTCAGATAATACATGAGTATTCTCAGAGTAAAAATGGCAATAATAGCTTCCTTTCCCTTCCCTGCCTAGAAATGCTGCTACCAGTACGTAAGCCTACCGCAGAAGAATCAATGTTCCTTTTGATCAGCCAAGTGACAGCTCTCAGGGGCACCAGCCAGTTTGCTGAGGCAAAGGCTGGCCTTTTTCTAAGCAGGAAAGTAGGCAGGGACAGGATTAAGTAAAGGACCTATTCTTATGGGTTTACCAGTTGTCTGCTGGAGTCATTTGAATGGGTTGGGGCAGTAAAGGGAGGGCAGCAGGCAGTGTGTGTACATGTGTGGAGCTGGGGAGGGGATGGAAAATCTGTAACTAATAGGCATCTTTTCATCTTTCTTACTGTTTTCTTTCCAGTGGTGCCCAGATAGGGGACAAATCTTCCCATAAACAGTAATCCTTTAGAAAGTGCTCAAGTACAGCTATTACTTAACTTCCTGATTAGCAGCAGTCACCACCTGCTACTTCTGCTCCTCATTGTCCAGCATAATGGCAGTGTTCATTTCTTTGGCTGTGAAAAGGTAATGGGAGCGGAGTCCCTCTTCTCTGTTTTGGCAAAAAGAGCAACAGTCCCTCCTTTTCTCCTGTAACTAATCCCAGACCATATTTTTCCAAGAAAATATAATTTGATTTCTGCTGACAAATATCTGGATAAGGCAGATTATGAATACTAAAAAAAAACCAAAACCAACCAAACCACCACAAAAGCAATCATTCTGATCTCTTTGAACTGAATTCAGGGTTCCTGCCACAGGGCTTTTTTATTGCCT